TATTTCTGAGCCAGGCACAGTGGCTCAAGCCTGTAATCCCAATGCTTTGGGAGGCCAAGGTGGGAGGATTGCTTGAGGCCAGGATTTTGAGATCAGTCTGGGCAACATAGCGAGACCCCATCTCTAAGAGCATAAGAAATAAATTCCATATGTGGTGGCACGTGCCTATAGTCCCAGGCTACTCAGGAGGCTGAGGCAGGAAGATCCCTGAAGCTCAGAAGTTTGAGGTTACAGTGAGCTGTGATCATGCCACTGTACTCTAGCCTGGTCACAGAGAGAGACATTGTCTCTAAATAATGATAATAATAATGATGATGGTGATGGTGATAATCCAAAGTTTTGAAGGCATTGTTTTAGTGCTTTCTATTTTCTAGAGCTAAAATATTTGATGCCATTCTATTTTCTGCTCCTTTATAAAGTCTTATTTCTTTTTATTTCCAGAAGCTTGTAGAATCATCTCTTTTTTCTCAGCACTTTGGATTATGAAAATCATGAGAATGGCCAGGCATGTTAGCTCACACCTATAATCCCAGCACTTTGGGAGGCCAAGGTGAGAGGATTGCCTGAGCTCACAGGTTCGAGACCAGCCTGGGCAACTTGGCGAGACCTCATCTCTACAATAAAGCAAAAAATTAGCTGGGTGTGGTGGCATGTGCCTGTAGTTCCAGCTACCTGGAAGGCTGAGGCGGAAGGATCACCTGAGCCCAGCAGGTTGAGGCTGCTGTGGCTGTGAACGTGCCACTGCACTCCAGCCTGGGCGACAGAGTGAGACTCCAACTCAAAAAAAAAGAAAGAAAGAAAGAAACTCATGAGTGGACCTTGATCCATTATGCTGGCATTTGGTGAGCTTCAATACTTCTGACCTCCTCTTTATCTGTATTCAGTCTTTAATTGGCTTAAATACCATCAATATGCTTATGCTTCTCAAATGTGTACTTCCAGCCTGACTCTCCTCAGTTGAGAACTGCCCACTCAGAGCCTTCCAATAAGCATTACAAATTATCCTCCCACACTGGCTCCTCCCCCAGTGTTCTCAGTAAAAAGGTACCACCATGTACCCGTTACCCAGGCTAAAAAACTTGACATCATTCCTTGATTTCTTTTTCTCTCACATCCAATCCCTCAGAAAATCCTGGAGGCTCTGTTTTTAAAATACAGCTAACTAGTTCAACCTCTATGAAAAATAGTGTGACAATTCTTAAAATAATAGAAGTTGACCTTCCATACGATCCAGCATTCCCCCTTCTGGGAAAATACCCAGAGGAACTTAAATCTCTCTACAAAAAGTATACCTGCACATGCATGTTTATTACAGCACTATTTGCAATAGCAAAAACATGGAACCAACCATGCTGCCCACCGAAACTGGACTGGATAAAACAAAATGTGGTACATGTACACCATGGAATATTACACAGCCATAAAGGACGAACATATGGACTTCCCAGCAACTTGAATGGATTAGAGTCAATCATACTCAGTCATTTATCACAGAAACAAAGCATGTTCTCACTTATAAGTGGACCCTGAACATTTACCATAATACTGTAAGAAAGGAATTGACAGTGGCCGGAAGCTGCCAGGGGGAAGGGGATACATGACATTAGTAAGGTTACCTGATCTCAAACCGGGTGAAATGGGGACCAAAGGGAGGCCCAACCCTTACCTGTACGATGCCCACTTGTATACCTAATCCTGACTTGTACCCCCCTCTTAAAATAAAATAAATGTTAAAAGATAAAATACAGTTCAAATCTGGCCACTTCTCACCACCTTAACCACTACTTCAGATGTTTCCTTAATCAGAGAAGCTTTCTGGATCACCCTGCATAAGATATTCCATTTTTCTTCCATTCTATGTTTGTAACTCCCTTCTTTACAAATAAAACCTCACAGTGTTGCAGCTAAAAGCGATCTTAGAGTCTGAGATCCCTGCATCCCACAGAAGAAACTGAGTAATGAAGTGAAGTGAGTAGTCAACTCAGCTACTCAAGATAATACTCAGTAGTTTGTACAGAGCTTTTACTTTTGAGAATTATATAATAATATACCCAGCATTAGATAATGTGCTATTGTAATTTCCTCTTGTATGTTCATTTTGTATAATTTCTTTTGGGAAAAGTTTATGAGGACTAAAGTTGCCTGGCACTGATAACCTTGTTAATACTTACTTTATTGGATAAGTAAAATATATTCCATTTTTTTTCTGGACAAAAAGTGGAGGCTAGCCGGACTCTGTGGCTCAGCCTGTAATCCCGCGCCTTTGGGAGGCTGAGGTGAGTGGATTGCCTGGGCCTGCGGGTTCGAGACCCGCCTGGGCAGCGAGACCTCATCTCTACAGTAAACCAAAAAAATCAGCCGGGCATGGTAGTGCATGCCTGTAATTCCGGCTACTTGGAAGGCTGAGGCGGAAGGATTGCCGGAGCCCAGCAGGTTGAGGCTGCGGTGGCTGGGAGCGGCCACTGCACTCCAGTTTAGCAACCAGAGTGCGATTCCAATTCAAAAAAAAAAAAAAAGTGGAGGCTGCTGGGCATGGTGGCTCACACCTGCAGTCCCAGCAGTTTGGGAAGCAGAGGCGAGAGGATTGCCTGAGCTCACAGGTTTGAGACCAGGCTGGGCAACATGGTGAGACCATGTCTCTACAATAAATAAAAAAATAGCCAGGTGTGGTGGTGCACATCTGTAGTTCCAGCTATTTGGAAGGCTGAAGCAGAAGGATCGCCTGAACTCAGCAGGTTGAGGCTGCAATGGCCAAGAGCATGACACTGCACTCCAGCCTGGGTGACAGTAAGACTCTGACTCAAAAACTAAAACCAAAACCATGGAAGCTACTTGGGAGGCTGAGGCAGGAGGATTACTTGGCCCAGGTGTTTGAGACCAGCCTGGGCAACATAGTGAGACTCTGTCTTTACAAAAAAAAATTAAAAACATTAGCTGGGCATGGTGGCACATGCCTGTAGTCCTAGCTACTTGGGAGGTAGAGGTGGGAGGGTGTCTTGAGCCCAGCAGGTTGAGGTTATAGTGAGCTACGATCACACCACTGCACTCCAACCTGGGCAACAGAGCAAAACCCCACCCCCCCACCATAAAAATAAAAGAAGAGGCTGGAAAAAAGTGTTCCCCTGAATGTCTCCATCTAAGTTGTATTTTCTAGCGTTCCTTTCTGAACAGGTGAGTTTTTCTGGCATCTGTGCCCGTATGCCACTAGAACAAGGAAGACAATTACAGAAAAGCTACCTCAAGCTCTGGGACACGGTAACGGTCCAGCAGTGTCCCAGCTATTCTTCCTGGAAGTGGCCTCTTCATTTCCTCAACGTGATCCCATTCTGTTCAAACATCCTCTGATCTGCTTGAAAGGATTTCCTGAGCATCTGGTCTGTGACAATGGTGGCCCCGTAACTTTGCTTTTTATGGCGACTTTTTGTAGTCATCTTAACACATCTATTCAAGAGTTTCCTCCCTGGTTTATTTATCAGTTTTGGCTGAGGACCACAACGACACTATTTAATGTTTGATTCATAAAAACAGTAAGTTCGTCTGATGGGTGGGAGTCTCAGAAAACAAATACCTTTTCTCTGTAGTTCGTTTCACTGATGGCTTCATATTTTTAAAAAATGCTTCTAGATGAGGTGCCCTTTTCTAATTTGCAAGGAGGACCTGCGGTTATATAAGCTTTGAGTCGAGGAAGAAGTGCTGAGAAGTGGCACAGAGTTTAGCTGCTGTGATGGAGGAGAGGGCAGAAAGGTGTGAGCAGGTGCAGCTAGTGGCCAGAGAGGAGCAATGTGGGGACAAAAACAGGATGCCTCTTGCTTTTATTGACTGTTAACTTCTGTTACATTGTTTGTAAGGTACATCTCTTCCCTATCATCTGTAAAATTTTCATTACAGGCCAGGCTTGGTAGCTCACGCCTGTAATCCCAGAATTTTGGGAGGTTGAGGCAGGAGGCTTGCTTGAGCCCAGGTGTTCAAGAGCAGCCTAGGCAATAAAGCAAGACCTCATCTCTACAAAAAAAAAAAAAAATCAAAAATTAACCGGATGTGGTGGTGCACACCTGTAGTCCCAGCTACTCAGGAGGCTGAGGCAGAAGGATCAAGGATGTGGTGAGCCATGATTGTGTCACTGCACACTCTAGCCTGAGTGACAGAGTGAGACCCTAGCTCAACAACAACAGCAAAAAATCTTTGTTACCTGAAAAATAAAAACAAAAACCAAACAGCAGTGCTGCCTAGGGAGTCTGAAGAAACCATGTGCCTGCACATAGAACAGAAATCCTGCTTCCAGGCCTCTGTTCAGAGCAACTTGACAAAGTCAACAGCATCTTTTGTGCTGAATATTAACTCACTTTTAATTTAAAAAAAATTTTTTTTTGAGTCGGAGTATCACTGTCACTTAGGCTAGAGTGCAGTGGCACACTCACAGCCACCGCAGCCTGGACCTGCTAGGCTCAGACAATCCTTCCACCTCAGTCTTTTAAGCTGTTGAAACTACAGGTGCATGCCACCACCCCCGGCTAATTCTTTGATTTACTGTAGAGATGATGTCTCGCCAAGTTGCCCAGGCTGGTCTCGAACCCCTGGGCTCAGGCAATTATCTTGCCTCTGCCTCCCAAAATGCTGGAATTACAGGCGTGAGCCACCATGCCCGGCAACTAACTTTACATTAGTTAGAAATGGAACTCAAGTGACTGAGTAGCTTCCCCATGGTGTCACAGATGTTTGAGACAGGTGGTCGTAAATACTTGTTGAAGTACCTGTGGGTTTCCGTGTCCTCCCTATAGAAGTAGGGGTCTCCATTTTGGTTCACCCACTGTCCTTAGAATTCGCGGTGTGCTGGTCATGTGGGATCACATGTGGAACGACTGCTCGATGAGTTAGACAACTATGTGCCACCTCGGATCTTTTGCTCCGGAAGCCTATCTTGGTTTCCCTTTTCTTTTCTCGAGCTGAATTCCATGGCCACACTAAAGAATGTGTTTGTGCTGCTTCTTTCTTTTTATTAGGGTACCAGAACATCTCGTGAAGAGCATAACTTGGCAGACACTGCAAGCTGTAAATTTTTGCCATAAACACAATGTAAGTCTCATGATCTTCTTTGGAAAATGAGAAGGCTGCCCTTCAGCTGAGGTGGAGCCTTGTACAAAGTTTATGCCATACTTTTGTGGGTATAACTTTTCACCTGAATCTTTATAAGTCTGGTTGGGGTAAGAAGCGGCTAAAAATGCCAACCTAGCTATTCCTACTTGCTCAGGTTATATAAAACATGCATTTTCATGATTTTAAGAAACTAGTTATATGTGTGTCTATGCATTTGTCATCAGTATTTCTAATACCGATTAGGAGCTACTCGCATTTAAAATAGAATCCCGTAGCATCTGTATTGGCCTGGTACACCCCAAAGGCTCTGAAATTGGGAGGGGGAGCCCCAGGTGACTCTTGTCTGTTTAGTTGCAGTATGTCAGTTGCAGTCAGTGGAGTTCCAAGCCCAATGCTCAAGTGCTAGTGTCTGCTTTGGTGACATTTGAGTGCCGGGTCTGGACCCAGGCAGCCCAGCGGAAGTCTTGGACACTCCTGGCCACGGCTGGGCTGGTGGGAGGCACAGTAGACTATTGCCAGGTGATGAGACTTCACAGATGCTGGGAAGCCTGCCGTTCCCTCCAGTACGGCACTCCCCGCTCCACTGCCAGATCCCAACATTGGCGCTTCATTTTGGCCACGAGTGCAATTTGACTACAATATTTTACCCTATGACTGCCAGGGTCAATTTAGGTGATAGGGCTAAATCTCCTTCCTTGTGCTGGCCTTGTGCTGGCCCAAATGATTTTTCCTGAAGCTGCATTCCCAGAAGAAGGAAATCTGAGAGTGCTAGCACTTCTCCCAACTGAGCCTCCACTTAGCTGAAGACCATCCTTGTCAAAATGTACCCCAGGGCCAGTGGAACTCCATATCCCAGGTTACTGTGAGCAAGGGTTAGCACTTTCCGGAGAGCAGGTTTTAGGGTAGGGCAGAGAGGGAGACTGCCCAAAGTTCCTACTAGGAGAAGATCTTAGCTGCTAAGGACATAGAGTGCATACCACAGTTCCCTGGAGAGCCCCAGACGCTCTACTTGGCCCCATGTGCTGATGGGGGAGGGTGCAAAAATTTGTAAGGAATTCCCAGAACAGATTGGGAGTACGTTCTTGCTTACAAGTACTTCTGACCATATGTCATCATGATATTCAGGGGTGTTCCCATTTATAGCAATATGTGAAGCCAGCAATAAAAGAATAGACATCTCAAGAGCTCTTAATTGCCGAGAACCAGATAGATTGTCGTAAAATAACTCAAAAATTGCCTGCCCCCCAATTTTCCAGAATAATAAGTACCGATGGGGAGACAGGCTGATCTCTCACCCTGAAGGTCCATTGGAATGAGCATTGGCTAGGCCCAAGAAGAACCCAGGTCTTCTCTTCAGAGTCTTGAAAGTCAAGAGTAGCCCCAGGGCTTCAGGCTGCAGGCCAAAGAGGATCTCTCTGGTTGCAGAAGGATCCAACATTCCCCTCCTGAGAGCAAACACTTGCGAAAAGAAGACTATTAGTAACCCTGAGCAATATTGCAGCCCATCTGTTGTTGTTTTTGATGCAGTTGTTAATTAGGTTGTGGATGTGTTCTTTGCCAGTGAAATTGTCATTTAATAAGAAAATTGCCAGGCACAATGACTCACACCTATAATCCCAGCACTTTGGGAGGCCAAGGTGAGAGAACTGCCTGAACCCGCGAGTTTGAGTCCAGCCTGGGCAACCTGGCGAGACCTCATCTCTACAATAAGTCAAAAATTAGCCGGGCATGGTGGTGTGTGCCTGTAGTTCCAACGACTTGGAAGGCTGAGGCTGAAGGATCACCTGAGCCCAGCAGGCTGAAGCTGCAGTGGCTGTGAGCATGCCACTGCACTCCAGCCTGGGCGACAGAGTGAGACTCCAACTCAAAAAAAAAAAAAAAAAAAGAAAATCGTGAAGATTCTCAAATGTTCTTGTAATATCACGCTGTGAAAGAATGTTGGCCGTGGTCTGGAAACCACAGGTGATCTGAGTCTAAAGTATGGCACAGGGCCCACATCCCAAGGGGTGGCTGCAGCCCTACGAGCACTTGTGTGTGGGACAGAGCTGACACCTAGCGACTGTCCCCGGAGGGTGAGGACTGCTGCCCACTCTTGTTTATCTTGTCAGGATGAATGTCAGAGCTGGAAGGGAGATCTCTTGGCAAGCTTGTGGTCACCGCCCATCTCTTCCCAGGCTTATCTCAGCAGGCCCAGGGCTCGTCCTGTTTACAAGGCCGACTGTGTTCTGTTCTCAGTTAAACAACTGAATTATGAATTCTGCTTAGGCACCAACTTGCAGCTCTCACAGCTGTGATGCAGCCTCACCTGGGGCCTTTTAACATTTTCCCTTTCACCTAGAGTTGTCAGATTAAAAACAGGATTCTCAGTTATATTTGAATTTCAGATAAACAAGCATATCTTTTTAGTGTAAGTGATATATTCCAAATGCCACATGGGACATACTTATACTAAAAAAAAAGTTGTTTACCTGAAATTCAAATTTAACTGTGTATCTTGTTTTTTGTTTTGTTTTGTTTTGTTTGAGTCAGAGTCTCAATCTGACGCCAGGTCAGATTGAGTGCAGTGGCACACTCACAGCCACTGCAGCCTTGACCTTCTGGGCTCAGGTGATCCTTCTGCCTCAGCCTTCCAAGTAGTTAGAACTACAGGTGCATGCCACCACTCCCGGCTACATTTTAAAAATTTATTGTAGAGATGAGGCCTCGCCAAGTTGCCCAGGCTGGTCTCGCATCCCTGAGCACAGGCAATCTCATCTCTGCCTCCCAAAGTGCTGGGATTACAGGCGTGAGCCACTGTGCCCAACTGTTTTTCCCTTTTCTGTTCTTTTTTTTTTTTTTGAGTTGAAGTCTCACTCTGTCGCCCAGACTGGAGTGCGCTCCTGGCCACCGCTGCCTCGACCTGCTGGGCTCTGACGATCCTTCCGCTCAACCTTCCAAATAGCTGGAACTACAGGTGCACGCTACCAACCACGCCCAGCTAATTTTTGATTTATTGTAGAGACGAGGTCTCACCAAGTTGCCCAGGTGGGTCTCGAACCTCTGGGCTCAGGCAATCCACTCACCTCGGCCTCCCAAAGCATGGGATTACAGACTGAGCCACCAAGCCTGGCCGTATTTTTATTTTCTAAGACTGACTGCTCTACTTCCATTTTTCCTTTTACCCTTTTTGGTCCTTTGAGGCCTTTTAAAAATGTGAGCTAATTCAGACTATCATAGAAATGGTATTAGATTTATTTTAGGCTGCTCTTTGCTGTGATCCAACAGTCCAGTGACCGATTTAAGTGATTTCTCCAATATTTGCTAGATATTCATGTTTTACTTATTCCATATGTACAGTTCATCCATAATCATCTATTGTTTTGATTTTTGTAACTAGTGTATACACAGAGATGTGAAGCCAGAAAATATCCTCATCACAAAACATTCAGTGATTAAGCTTTGTGACTTTGGATTTGCTCGGCTTTTAAGTGAGTATTGTTGCTTTCTTTAGTTAAGTGTAAAAGATGGAAACACTCTTTTTTTCCTTATTCTAGAGTTCTGGGGTACGAGTGAGGGTTTGCTACATAAGTAGGCTGCATGCAGGTAAAGTTTGGGCTTCTAGCTGGCCCTCCCCTTGGTGGTGGACCAGGTACCCACTGTATTGTCACGTGCCCTACACTCCCCTCCCTTGCTCCCCTAGCAGTGCCCAGCAACTGCTGATCTCGCCCTTGTGCTAATGTGGCTAATGGAAAAGTTCTTGATATGATAAAGGATCTAAATGCTATGGAAGTATACAAGTTAGTTCTTGTATATTTAAGGCATAAGCTTGTGACTTGCTACTTGCATATATATTTAAACTTACTGAAGATGTGTAGACACATACAGTGGTTTAAATATATATGCTACGTGTAAATTCTACCACAGTAAAGTGGTTATTGAAAAGTATGTGAGGCCGGGCGTGGTGGCTCAAGCCTACAATCCCAGCACCTTGGGAGGCTGAGGCAAGAAGATTGCCTGAGCCCAGGAGTTTGAGACCAGCCTGGGCAACTTGGTAAAACCTTATCTCTATGGTATATCAAAAAATTAGCCGGGTGTGGTAGTACGTGCCTGTAGTTCCAGCTATTTGGAAGGCTGAGGCGAAAGATCACCAGAGCCCAGCAGGTCGATGCTGGGGTGGCCGTGAGTGTGCCACTGCACTCCAGCCTGGGTGATGGAGTGAGACTCTGACTCAAAAAAAAAAATTATATTCCAAGTGATTTGAATGTGCAACAAGCATTGAGAACCAGTGACTTAGAAACAGCTCAAGATTGGACACAGGCTTGATTTCTGAGGTCTTCCCATCCCAGTTTGGATTCCAATCTTCCTTTGCTTTTTCTGTTTTCCATGTTTCATCATTGGCCAGCTGGACCGAGTGACTACTACACAGACTACGTGGCTACTAGGTGGTATCGTTCCCCTGAGCTGTTGGTGGGGGACACGCAGTACGGCCCCCCAGTAGATGTTTGGGCAATTGGCTGTGTCTTTGCTGAGCTGCTATCAGGAGTGCCTCTATGGCCAGGAGAATCAGATGTGGATCAGCTCTCTCTGATCAGGAAAACCTTGGGTAAGTGGTGTTTTTGTCCTGCCTTTTGTGAAACTAAGTAGTTTTACCCATTTTGTCCTGCCTTTTGTGAAACTAAGTAGTTTTGCGATTTTAGTGCAAGGCAGAGCCAAGTTTCCAGTCTCATCTAATACTCTTTAGGGATTTGGATGTCCTTAAGTCCAGTCTGCCTGACTAGTTTGGATTATTCAGACTCTGGAGGAAGATTCTCAACCTTCTAACCCTCTAGGGCATTAGTTAGTGAAGGGGAATTCTCAAAGCCTCATTTAAATGACTCCATTAAAGGAGTCCAAATTTGTTTTAATAAAAATAATTAACAATTATTGAGTACTTATTAATTGTCCAAAATATACAAGGTTCTCTCTTTAGCAAAGTTTGGATCAAGTTAGACCCTTATAATGATCATAGCAACAATAAAAATTCACATTTCTATGAGGGGACAGCAGTTTGCAGAATGCACACATAGTTTATTTCATTACTATCATACGGTAATTAATTTGGATGTCCTTAACTCCAGCCTGCCAGACTGGTTTGGATTATTCAGACTCTATAGAGAAGGATTTTCAACTTCTCTGTGTCAGGAAGAAAGGCTGGTTCTTCTTCTTCTTCTTTTTTTTTTTTTTTTTTGAGTTGGAGTCTCACTGTCACCTAGATTGGAATGCAGTGGTATGCTCCCAGCTACCGCAGCCTCAACCTGCTGGGCTCAGGTGATCCTTCCACCTCAGCCTTCCAAGTAGCTGGAACTACAGGCATGCACCACTGTGCCTGGCTAATTTTTTGATTTATTGTAGAGACGAGGTCTTGCCAAATTACCCAGGCTGGTCTCGAACCTGTGGGCTCAGGCAATCCTCTCACCTCGGCCTCCCAAAGTGCTGGGATTATAGGCATGAATCACCATGCTGGCCCAGAGGTAAATTTCTAAGACATATCAGTAAAATTAGACAATTTGATACCCTAGGGTAGGAACTGTAGCCCAGTCCAATGGCAACACGTCTAGACCCCTGAGAGGGAGATTTCTGTTTTCCACTCAACTCTGGGAAGTGGGCCTGGGTGTACCCCAGGAGAACCCTTCTGAGTATCTCCTTATATCCTGTGAACAAAATCCCTTTTCAAGTGTTATATCCCTAGAATTTTACATGAGGGTAGTTTTAGCTGATTTGGCTGAAATGTGGGTAGCATGAGCTTCCCATAGTTTCCTGGAATATAAAAATGCTTTTTTTTAGCCTGGCATGGTAATATGGACCTGTAGTTCCAGCTACTTGGAATGTTGAGGCGGAAGAATCGCCAGAGCCCAGCAGGTTGAGGCTGCGTTGGCTGTGAGCATGCCACTGCACTCCAGCCTGGGCAAACAGTGTGAGACTCCAACTCAAAAATAAAAAATAGCATTGACTCATGCCTACAATCTCAGCACTATAGGAGGCTGAAGTGAGAGGATTGCCTGAGCCCACGGGTTTGTGACCAGCCTTGGCAACATGGTGAGACCTCATCTCTACAATAAATCAAAAAATTAGTCATTGTGGTGGTGCGCGTCTGTAGTTCCAGCTACTTGGAAGGATCGCCTGAGCCCAGCAGGTCGAGGCTGCGGTGGCCATGAGCGTGCCACTGCACTACAGCCTGGGTGACAGAGTGAGACTCCAACTCAAAAATGAATGAATGAATGAATGAATGAAATAAAAATGCTTTTTTGGTTTCATTGATTCATATAAGTGCTTCTAAACATTGAGTGAAATGGAATTTTCAAGTGATCACTTACTGGTGAAACAAGAAGAGATGATTCCAATTTGAAAGCATATTCCTTTTAGTTAGATAAACTTCCATGACTTGTTCCTGGCCTCCCTTCCTTCCTTCTCTCCTTCCCTTCCTCAAATATTTATTGAAGCCAGACACGGTGGCTCACGCCTGTAATCCCAGCACTTTGGGAGGTGGAGGCGAGATGACTGCCTGAGTCCAGGGGTTCAAGACCAGCCCGTGTAATTTGGTGAGACCTAGTTTCTACAATAAATCAAAAAATTAGCTGGGTGTGTTGGTGCGTGCCTGTGGTTCCAGCTACTTGGAGGGCTGAGGCGGAATGATCACCTGAGCCCAGCAGGTTGAGGCTGCGGTGACCATGAGTGTGCCAGTGTACTCCAGCCTGGGCAACAGAGTGAGACTCTGACTCAAAAAGAAAAATTTATTGAGAGCTGGCTGTGTGTCAGGCACTATTATAAGTGCTAGGCCAATGCACTGTTCTCTCGATCCATCAGCATTCTGTTAATACAATTTTGATTTGTCGTTGTTGCCCTCTTGCTACTTTTTTAAAAGGCATTGTTTTACTTGCGTGTGTGCTTCTGAATTGTTTGCTTTGTATTACTCAAATACACTGTGAGCTCTGTGGGCGAGACCTTGCAGCCTTCTGTTTCTGTGGCTTGCCTCCTCTGTGCCAACAGAGTGTGTGCACCGTTGACTGTAGGGATCAACACAGGCTGCCGAATGGCTGAACTATTGGTTGCCTGAATGGCTCGCCCTCTGATTGCAAGAGAACGCCGCAGCCTTCACAGGTATAGGCACAGCATCCATGGAAGAAAACCACAGATCAGTGCTTGCTAACCAATTTTACCTTCTTCTTTCTTCTTGTCCAAAGGGGACCTCATTCCTAGGCACCAGCAAGTATTTAGCACGAATCAGTACTTCAGTGGCGTAAAAATTCCAGACTCTGAAGATACGGTGAGTGATCATATTTTGGAGGGAGCTCTGTGGGCCAGGCCAGTTAGGTTCGGTAGTTACTCATGCCTGAGCCCCATGACTCATCCTGCAATGGAAGGTCAGTCTTAGAGTGAAATAGAAAACTGGAGCAAATTGGCTGGCAGGTGCTGATTTAGAGGCCGTTGAGGACAGAATATAGCCAGCCTGTTGTTCAGGCGTGCAGAGCTGCCTGCCTGAATCACCCTGCCCATTATCATTTTCAGCAGTGACTGAGAGCCTGTCAACTTTTAGACATTGGCCCATCCAGGAAAAGTTAACTACTTTTCCCCCAACATGATCCAAATTCCCTGCTCTACTGAGCCTTCACTCCGCAGACCAGGGAGAACAGTCATGAACATGCTTGGCGCCCCACTCTGATGCCTGCCCTCTATGGCCAATGTGGGAACAACACCCTTTTTTAAAAAAAAACTGAAAAATTGTAAATGTTCATACCCATCACCCACTCTCAACAATTTATTCCACTGAAACCATTAACCAAGAGCATAAAGATGTGGCATTACCTAATAGAAATCATTTCCTTTAGTGTCCCATCAGTAGGGGATTAATTAAATAAGTATGGTACATCTTTCCAAGAGAAACACCACATAGTAAAAATAATTAGATTTGCACGTATTCACCTGAAAAGAAAGGCCAGCACCTATTGTTAAATGAAAAAAATGTTATATAGAACAGTATATATTTGACAAAATTATAATATCTATTTACTATATGTGCAGTTCATATGTATACATATATTTATGTATAAACACAAACAAATATGACAACATCTGAAAAACATGCAAAACTTTTTACATTTATGAAATAAATGACTACAAGGACATGTACCAAAATATTAACAGGGGGTATCTCTTTGTGGTGGGATTTGGGGGTAACTTTTAAAATGATTTTTAAAATATTTTTTAATGTCTGCTAATGAACCTATACTGTAATCGAAAACATTTCAGAGCATAACTAAGGTTTGTGAAATCCTAAGCTTCTACTGCCTGAGGAAGGTACTTTCAAGTTGAAACGAGCCCTCTGGTTGCTCAGTTTCCAGAAAAGTGCCATTTGTTCCTACCGCTTCTGTCTCTTCCCTCAACCTCTTGGCTTGTCCCCCTGTGAAAGCTTCCGCCTCCCCGACAACGCCTCCCTCTCCTGCAACACTAGCATTATGGAAAGAGAGGCAAGAATGACACCTGGCATGTGGGAGGTGACCCTCATGGCTCCCTTGTGACCTGGATGCTCCCAGTTCCGCACTAAATATCCCTTAGCGATTTCCTGTTCATTTGTCTACTGGTGAAGCCTCAGAAACAACCCAGCTTTCACAAATGTAAAAAACTTCCCCTGGTTTTTCCAGAGGTTGTCTTGCAGGAGATTTCCTGTTGACAGAAACACAGGAAGAAGCAGTGCGCTGGCTGGACATCTGTGCCCCAGTCCCTCTGCCAGTGGTTGTAACCCTGACGGAGGGAGGGAGCCTGCTCGCAGATGGGGCTGGGAAACTGGCTCTGCAGGCAAGACGGGCCCCACATATCATAGGCAACCCGCTGGCTCCATCCCAGGCATTGTTGCTGAGACAGCAGGGCTCTGTGTTAGCAATGGCACGCCAATTCCCAGCGGCACTCAGATTCAGCGCACAGAGAAATATGTAAGCTATGGGGCGTGGGGGAGGGGGGATGCTACTCTCAAGAGCTGAAGCAAACCCCAAGGAACATAGGGCACTCCCCAATGAGGCTCTGCTCTCTCACTCTCATCAGTGGTTGGTATGTGCACAATCCAGGATTGGTTCTTCAGGGCCGGTTCTCTGTCCAAAACAACGCTGTGCTTTGAAGTTTGGCCACAGCCTGGGCCTGTGTTTCATTAGATGAGCCTGGCCAGTCACTCCAGCCTCCAGCTCACACTCTCCACACACAAAGCACTGCAGCCATTTATTTTGCTCAGCTTCCCTCCTCAATGAGCCTTTGTCACGGAATGTCTCTTCAACTGGCCTGTCTGCCTGACTTTGTCTGCATTCCTCCCTTTTACAGTGTTATTCCTGATGTGCTCCAGCTTGTGACTGGAACAGAAGCGCCTTATATGGCCAAAGGCAGATTGATGAATGCCCCTTGAGAGACTCTTTAAACAGTAGGCCCATAAGGGAAATGGCAGGCTCTTGTGGGAGGAGACAGCAGAGTTTATTACAGAAAACTGAGAAGCATCTGTTAACCTGGACAGGGCAACAAAATCCACTTTGAGACTCCCTTTATATAAATGTCAATAAAAAATTGAAGACTCAGTGACCACAGCAAGCAAGCATAGCATGCAGCTTACCCATTGAAAGGGTCTCCTGGAGTATAGTGGTGTGATCACAGCCCACTGCAGGCTTGGACACCTGGAATTAGAGGTGTGAGCCACTGCTCCTGGCCTAAAAGCGGTCTTTGCAGGTAGTTTGGATCCTTAGCCTGGAGGAGCCTACTGAAGATTATTTCCCATACAGGTCTTCAGCTCCAGGCCTCCTCCCATCACAGCCTCCCAAAAGTGCTGGAATTTACAGGCATGAGCCACACAACCGAGCCTCATTCAGCTTTAATAAATTTGTACAAGCAAATAAATAAATGCAATAATTAGGGCTTTTTATAATGCCAATGTGAATGCCAAAAATTGTTCTCTGGGAAGGCAAGCTAATATCAACTGAGGCAGAAAAAATGAAATAATAATTGCTCAGCAAGTGAGTTTTTTTTTTCTTCCTTTCATTAGTATTTACTTATAATTTGCTACCTGCATGGGCAGCAATGCAGGAAGGAAAGGGAGTGGTTAGGAAGTAAATTTAGAAAAGCAGTTTGGAGGTGGGGAGAGAAGGAACTGGGAAACAGGCAAAGGGAGGTTGTTTCAGGTGGGAGGTGGGAAACAGGCAAAGGGCAGAGGCTGCCAGGAAGGTGTCAGGAAGATGCTTCTATGCAAAAGAAATTGCGGTCATCTAAATTCGAATACATGCTGTCAATTAAAAACCCCTTTTCTTTTCAACAGGAACCACTTGAATTGAAATTTCCAAACATCTCTTATCCTGCCCTGGGGCTCTTAAAGGTAAACTCAAGCTTCCAACAGACTGGGGAGCACACGGCAGTTGACATCATTGGGGAATCTGAATCCCTTATGTCAGTTCATGAAATGGAAAGTGTTCCTTTTAGAATGCTTCTATGTAGATCACATTCTATTACAGTGAAAAAAACACCTGTAAGTATTTCTCACTTCAAATAAACCTTACATGTTTGAAATCTAAATTTACACAAAATAGAAATTTCAAGGGGGTGGGTGGTGTTTGTTTTATAATAGAAGCTTTTTCTTTAAAAAATGCTTAGCTGTAAGATCTTTTTAAATAGCCAGCTCCCTAGTACATTTGAAGTACATTTTGATTTTAAAACTTGATTTACATATACAATTTTAGAAATATAGCTCTTATGTAAAATGAGATATGGTACCAATTAAATTATTTGCAAGTCCCACACAATTCAAAAATTATTTAATACATTTATTGATGCCTTTTTTTTGAGTTGGAGCCTCACTCTGTCGCCCAGGCTGAAGTGCAGTGGCATGCTCGACCTGCTGGGCTCAGGTGATCCTTCAACCTCAGCCTTCCAAGTAGCTGGAACCACAGGCATGCACTGCCATGCCCGGCTGATTTTTTTATTTATTGTGGAGACCAGGTCTCACTGTGTTGCCCAGACTGGTCTTGAACCCCTGGGCTCAGGCAATCCTCTCACCTTGGCCTCCCAAAGCACTGGGGTGATAGGCTTGAGCTGCCATGCCTGGCCTACTGATGTATTTATTTATTTATTTATTTATTTTTTGAGTTGGAGTCTCAATCAGTTGCCCAGACTAGAGTGCAATGGCCGCTCCCGGCCACTGCAGCCTCGACCTGCTGGGCTCTGGCGATCCTTCCGCCTCAGCCTTCCAAGTAGCTGGAACTACAGGCACATGCTACCATGCTTGGCTAATTTTTTGATTTATTGTAGAGAAGAGGTCTCGCCAAGTTGCCCAGGCGAATCTCGAAGCTGCGGGCTCAGGCAATTCACTCACCTCGACCTCCCAAAGCGCGGGATTACAGGCTGAGCCACCAAGCCCGGCTACTGATGCATTTATAACCAAAAAAAATTGAGACAGTTTCTCGGGGTATGTAGTTGTGAGATTTAATCTTTCTAAGTACGAGCACCATGGCCCACTTAAAGGAAAAAAAAGGTTAAAAATGATGAAATATAAAGGCATGTCTATTATGCCTCTCCTTACACACAAACTCATATATTCTTGTAATGCATAGACTATTTTTGGAAGGATATAACAAAAAAAGAGTAACTGACTTTAAAAGGGAGAATGGAAGGCCTGGAGTGACAGGGACGTTGCTGTATACTGCATGAATCTTACTTGTATCAATGTAAATTTTTTTTTTTGAGTTGAAGTCTCATTCTGTCGCCCAGACTGGAATGCAGTGGCACACTCCCAGCCACCGCAGCCTCACCCTGCTGGGCTCTGGCGATCCTTCTGCTTCAGCCTTCCAAGTGGCCAGAACTACAGGCGTGTGCTACCACGCCTGGCTAATTTTTGATTTATTGTAGAGAGACTTCTCACCAAGTTGCCCAGGGAGGTCTCGAACCCACGGGCTCAGACAATTCACTTGCCTCGGCCTCCCAAAATGCCAGAATTACAGGCTGAGCCACCGAGCCCGGCCATAAATATTATTCTTAAAGTAAAGGCCAGGCGCAGTGGCTCATGCCTGTAATCCCAGCACTTTGGGGACCTGAGGCAAGAGGATTGCCTGAACCTAGGGGTTTGTTACCAGCCTGGGCAACTTGGTGAGACCTGGTCACTACAATAAATCAAAAAAATTAGCCGGGCATGGTGGCACATGCCTGTAGTTCCAGCTACTTGGAAGGCTGAGGCAGAAAGATCACCTGAGGCTGCAGTGGCCATGAGTGTGCCACTGTACTCCAGCCTGGGCAACAAGAGTGAGACTCCAACTCAACTAAATAAATAAATACACTAGTTTTTACAAAGTACTTATAAGGGACCAAACAGGCTCAATGGATAGTTGACCACTGAGGTAAACTAATGTTATATCCTGCTCTCTCAGGGCACAGCACCAACTGCTTCAAGAACAGCATGGCGCAAACAATCTCGTTGTTACTACTTCTAGAAACTCTTTCTTTTATGAGTACTCATTTAGGAATGAAGGAACTAAAATCATGACTGATATGTTTTCCCTACCTTTTTTTCCCTTTTTATTCTCAACTGAAAAGTTCAGTCTTTCAAGGAAAAAAAATGACATTAATTAATACAATTTTAAAGAAGTAAGTAGAAGGAATATTCTGTTCTCTTAGGGCTGCTTCCACATGGACCCTGCTGAGAGACTGACATGTGAACAGCTGTTGCAACATCCGTACTTTGACAGCATCAGAGAAATGGGAGATTTGGCAAAAGAACATGACAAAGCAACAAGGAAGAACCCAAGACCAAGCCGAAAGCACCTGCCTGAGGTAAAGATGGTGCACTGCTTTACATAAACATCCAAGGCTACCATTTTTAATGATCTCATACTTGCCACCTGGTACAGAGAGTCCAAATCTAGACTCCAGAGTGGCAGTTGTGGTGTGTGGTCCCAGCACCTTCATTCCAGCACTAGGAGACAGGTCACACGACCTGTCAACCAGGCCCCCAGCACCATCTGCCTCCTGAGACCCCCACGCCCTGGATGTAAAAGGTGCCCTTGCCCTGCTGTTTCCTGTCACCACACAGGGGCCCGGCGTTCTGGCAGGTGTGGGTACGAGTCTCAGCTGGGTACATACGTGTGAGTCCAGCTGAGCACGCGCCTCATGCTTTGGAAAAGGAAATCAGATTTTTCTCTCTGTCATCCCGATCGTTTTCAGTACTAACATTCCAGACTTCTCCAAAAAAGAAACTGTTTTTCTCCCTGATCCTCTATCAGAGTTGGCTAGGGCAAATCCAGGGATGTGCGCTTTCAGTGGCATCCACAGAAGAGCACAGTTAACCAGAGAAGAGCATCCAAACTGCACTCTAGATCCTTTGAAGACCTGATGGGTGTGAAGTGGTGCAATGACCTTACACTAAGTATCTCGTCATAAACCAAAAGCTGTACAAATTTAGGACAAACCTGTTGGAACCACAGCTGCTCCTGGTCACCTCTGGATCTGCCCCCCCCCCTTTTTTTTTTGAGTTGGAATCTTACTCTGTCGCCCAGGCTGGAGGCTAGCGGCCGCTCCTGGCCACCGCAGCCTCGACCTGCTGGGCTCCGCAATCCTTCCGCCTCAGCCTTTCGAGTAGCCGGAACTACAGGCATGCGCTACCATGCCCAGCTGATTTTTTGATTTATGGTAGAGATGAGGTCTCACTGCCCAGGTGGGTCTCGAACCCGCAGGCTCAGGCAATCCACTCACCTCAGCCTCCCAAAGGCGCGGGATTACAGGCTGAGCCACCCAGCCCGGCTGGATCTGCCCCTTAAACTATGGATTATCCTGCTTTAGTCATTCCCTTCACAGCCTCCACTGCCCAGCCCTCTCAGTGGTACCTGAGTAGTGACGTGAGGTATGGAGCAGGGGAAAGGGTGGAGAGTCCGTGGGGAACAGGCACAGCACAGGCTCCAGGACCCTCAGGTAGACCAAAGTTGCAAAATTAAGAATGTTTGACTTTGCCGGGTGCAGTGGCTCACGCCTGTCATCCCAACACTTTGGGAAGTGGAGATAAGAGGCTTGCCCGAACCCGCGTGCTCGAGACCAGCCTGGGCAACATGGTGAGGCCTCGTCTCTACCATAAATAAAAAAATTAACTGGACATAGTAGCACATGCCTGTAGTTCCAGCTACTTGGAAGGTTGTGGAAGGATCGTGGAGCCCAGCAGGTCAACCCTGGGGTGGCCGTGGGTGTGCCACTGCGCTCCAGCCTGGGCAATGGAGTGAGACTCTAACTCAAAAAAACTCCACATATTTATTGTATTGTACTATTTGGTCTTGAGTATCTAAAAAGGGAGTTTTGTTTTTTCAGTACTTTAAATCAAACAGTTGAATTCTTCAGGACTTCAAAGCAGTACACCAAACAGTGGGGCTTCCCTATTCTTTCAAATAGAAATATTTCCACCAAGACCCTTTGCTCTTGAACAACAAAGTAATAGTGAGATTAGGGGTAACTCTGGGGCAGGGGTTGGCGAGCCTATTTCTGGCCTGTTTTGCTACCCAGTTCATATATGATAGAGAATAAAAGTCAAACTTTTTTCTTTTTTTTTGAGTTGGAGTCTCACTCTGTCGCTCAGACTGGAGTACAGTGGCCGCTCCCGGCCACCGCAGCCTCAACCTGCTGGGCTCCGGCGATCCTTCCGCCTCAGTCTTCCAAGTAGCTGGAATTACAGGCGCGCGCTACCACGCCCGGCTAATTTTTTGATTTATTGTAGAGATGAGGTCTCGCTACCCAGGCGGGTCTCGAACCCGCGGGCTCAGGCAATCCACTCACCTCAGCCTCCCAAAGGCACGGGATTACAGGCTGAGCCACTGAGCCCGGACAAACTTTTTTCTTTTTCTTTTTTTGAGTTGGAGTCTCATTGCATCGTCCAGGCTGGAGTTCAGTGGCACACTCACAGCCACCTCAGCGTCGACCTGCTGGGCTCTGGTGATCCTCTGCATCAGTCTTCCAAGGAACTATAGGCACGCACCACCATGACCAGCAGGTTTTTTAATTTATTGTAGATAAATCCTCTCGCCTTGGCCTCCCAGTGCTGGGATTACAGGCTTGAGCCACCGTGACCAGCCAATATGTGTTTTTCTTACTTTCATTTGACATTGACAATAAATTCAAACATTTTCTGGAAGCTGGAAAGAAGCAGTTTTGCTTTTTTTTTTTTTTTTTTGAGATGAGGTCTTCCTATGTTGGGTCTCCTGGGCTCAAGCAATCCTCCTGCCTAAGCCTCCCTAATAGCTGTGACTACAGGCACACGTGCTGCCATACCCAACTTGCCTTTTTCATTAAGATAATAAGTGGGCAAACTGCCTAAGTGCTCCGGACATTAGTTTTCCCTGCTGTAAGACAGGGCATTGGCTTAAATTATCCCGAAGGTCCCAACAAGTTCTCAACTCCTATAAATATAGGCTTTTTTCCCCAATAATGTTAACACGTAGATATTCCTTTCTTTCTCGTATTCTCTAAATCTTTTTTAATGTGCATGTTTTTACTTTTTAATGAAAATTAAATCTTTCAAAGAAAAAGTAGAGACCAAATATTTTGTCCTCTCTTTGGTCTTGGATTCCGTTCAAGAAAAGTATTTCTGTACTGGAAAATTTACATAATTATCACTTTTGCGACAAAGTCTAAATAATGAAAAGAATCCATGGCACCATTTGGAGCCTAATTCTGTATTTTGTATTTTCAATTGCAGTACCTACCTCAGCTAACTAGCAGCAGCATCCTTCCGGCTTTGGATAGTAAGAAGTATTACTATAATACCAAGAAACTGAACTACCGTTTTCCAAACATTTAAAGAGCTAGAAGATTGATGATTTTTAAAAAAGGAATTGATCAATAACTTGAAGAAAATAAAACTTATACATTTGACCAAAAGCAATGACAATGTTGAAAACACACCAGAAAAAAACCTAAAACTAGTGACTGGGAGGCCACCTGGTAAGATAGGAAAGGAAATTCCAGATCTAGTCTTCCAGGCTTGATGATGGCGTCCAGAAAAGAATGGAAAAACCTGTTTGGAGTTTCACTTGTTTTTGTTTATGTAAGCAGTCGATCTCATAGACAGAACATAAACTCTACTACTCATTCTTTTGGCAAAATTAGATGATGTCAAAAAGATTGATGCTTCAGTTGTACTATGTACTACACATGACAAATGGATTTCATAGTGTCCATAAGCATTTCCTTGGATCTCTGTTACTTTGAGTTCTAGCTCCTCCCTCTCAGATTGTTTCGACATCATATTTAACTCAAAAAAAAAAAAAAAAAAAAGTAGTTTAAAATCCCATTTCCTGCTTGCTCCGTTTCTTGATTTTTATATTTTGGAACATTTTGAGGGGGAACATTGAGGTTCAAAATACTTAAAATCATATGCATTATCATAAAGACTTTGTAATTTATATACTTATAAATTTAATTTTTATATTTCTTACCTATACTTTTGTTTTTACCTTCCGTAAAGGATGCACCTTAGTCACTTTTGCAGGCAGAATGGATTGGTTACATTGTCTATATTTGTTCACCCAAGTCCTCTTGCAGACTTGGCAGCTGAGCAAGCTGGTCAAGGGGTACATAGAACAAGAACGGCAGGCTTTGCAGGAACTGAGCCTGTCGGCCTCTCTCCAGTCCAGTCTCACTTGAAGCCAGATCCACAGCAGACCCACATACAGTTTTAAAAGAAATTGCTTGTGAGCTTTTACTTGAGTCATGAAAGACATTAGGTCATCAACTGAGTTTTCCCTGAAACATCTTTTTACACTGTATTATATGTGTATGTGCAAACACACATACATGCATATATACTTACACACCCGTGTGTCTATATAAATATACATATATACTATCCTACCAACCAATATTGGAATCAGAAAGTAGTCCAAAATGGTATTATTGAGGACTCCTAGCTTTGTATAATGAGACTTTAAATGATGACATGTCATTAGCTTTGACTTGGCCTACTGCTCCTAATCAAGAGCATTTTCATCCTTGTCCCCATATTACACGAGGGTCACGTGAAGCCTGATATCTATCCCTGATAGCTCAGCACTGTTTTCTAGTGGTTCTCAGCCATGGTCTTCAAAGCTGTATTTTACTTTATCTTCAAAACATGTCTGCTGCACTCTCACTTTTTTTTCCTGTGTTAGTTTTCTTCATGACAGCTTTTGACCCCATTCACTTACTGCTAAGGAATTTACTAGATTCTGGCATCTGTTCAATAATTTTGACTGCCCCAGGCAGTTTAATGCCTTTGGCTTCCTAATCTATGTAGCTTCATGCATACACCTGATTGTGGGTTAAATATTAGTCCCAGTATTGTTCAATTCCTGTTAGGCAGCCTTGATTCACATGACAAGGAAGGACATCCAACTTCTGAGGAGTTAACTTTTTTCTTCTTTTCCCTTATCCCCAGAAAATGCACTTGACGGAGGCAGATGACTATAACTGCCTAATACATCCAATAGTTTTACAGAAAACTCAGTAGAAAAGTGGTTCTGGACTAAATCATGGTAAATCAGTTGTCTCACCACACAGTAATGAAACAAACCTGAGAAGACTTCTTTTTCTCTAATGAGTCCTATGAAATTTATGCTTATGTTTATTTTAAACATATCTGTAATCCTTCAGCATTAAATCACAACTGTATCACGAGACTGTTTTACATCCTGGTTTTTTGAAAAATACGATTTTCTGATTTTTTTTTAATGACAGTGGTAATTATGTTAGTGAATAGTTTATCATTTATACTATGTGCATTTGTATAAGCTGATTTCTGAACACAACTAAAATTCATTTTTCTACCTGAAAGGTGCATCATGGAAAGTTTATTTTCGGTCAAGTTTATATTCAGCAGCTTAATGTTCAAAACAAACATAACAGAAATCCACAAACTAGCTGGCATAAAGCAGTATAGAACCAGGGCAGGTAAAAATAAAGACCCTGTTTTATCTATTTTTGACATGCTTCATTACTACTTTCTATATATAAATTGACTTTTGTCAATTGTTTATATTTCTCTCTGATATCCTTTAAGCTCATAGGAGGTAGCAGCCAAGATATATGAGAGAAGAAAAATGAGTTTCTAATTGACACATTAAAATTTTCTGTTTAAAGCCATTTTTTAATTTAAGAAAAACCAAAGTGTGACCTGCTGGTCTTGACGACTGTTTCCTGTATTCTGTTGCAATCAGCAAAACTGTCTGAATTCAGCCAAATATCTATGGCCAGTTTTATTAAAACATTAGCTTAAACTTACAAAATAGACAAATTAACCAGCAACTGTTCAATCTGCAAAATGATGTATGCTATCAAGAATACAGGAATGCAGGATCATGGGAAATGCTTGCAAATCTTGGGAAGCAATATGAAATGAATGTCTCAACAACCATTGCTATTTTGCATAATTGGCTCCATCTCTGGATCTGTAATTTTGCTTCCAATTTTTCATAATTGTGCATTTGTAGTAATATACTTCACAAACTTTAACGTTAAAGTAAGATGTAAATTACTGTCATGATACAATAAAGATATCAGAGTTGCAGGTTAAACCACCTTAAAGAACTCTAGATATCTACATCAAGATGTCTATAAGAGTTCTATATTAAATGAGGAATACATTTATTGAAATGCGGCTAGTTTGCATTTTTCTTAAAATGAATTCATGCACATAAATTCTCACTTCCAGTTTAGTAACTTTAGTGAGTGATGTCTGAATATTTATTTTTAACATATAATGGATTCTCTACTTCTAAGATGTCGTGATATGGCATCCTTATGATTCTTCTAATGATTATATTTGTTGTTGTTGTTTAGGATCAACAATTTCAAATGATCCTTATTAGTGAAGTAAGACACTTATTATTTTACTTCAACTGTAATTTTAGTTCCAGAGATGGCAGTGCTGTCTTAAAGGCTTGGACAAGATTTTCTTTTTCTTTCACTCCAGGAAGATCACTTAACAGCAAATATTTGAGGTTTCTGCAAACAGAGAAAGAAAAAAGTCACTTCAACTTAGTCATTAAAATTAAAAATAAACTCAATTTACTGACTTAAAGAAAATTCACACAGAATGTGTCTATATCACTCTACACCTTCAAAATGACCCTTGGAGCAGTAGTCTTTTTTTTTTTGAGTTGGGAGTCTCACTGTCACCCAGACTGGAGTGCAGTGGCATGTTCCCAGCCACCGCAGCCTTGACCTGCTGGGCTCAGGCGATTCTTCTGCCTCAGCCTTCCAAACAGCTGGAACTATAGGCACGCACTACCATGCCCAGCTAATTTTTTGATTTATTATAGAGACGAAGTCTCACCATGTCAGCCCAGGCTGGTCTCGAACCCATGGGCTCAGGAAATCCTCTCACCTTGGCCTCCCAAAGTATTGGGAGAAACAGTAGTCTTAAGGTACTATTTTAAATGAAATTCATTCTAGGAACTAAGATAGACTTTGGAAATTATACTTGTTTTTGTTTTATTTTTTGAGCTGAAGTCTTACTCCATCGCCCAGGCTGGAGTGCAGTGGCCTGCTCATGGCCACCCCAGCGTTGACCTGCTGGGCTCAGGCAATCCTTCCGCCTCAGTCTTCCAAGTAGCTGGAACTACAGGCATGTACTACACACCCGGCTAATTTTTTGATTTATTGTAGAGACGAGGTCTCACCATGTTGCCCAGGCTGGTCTTGAACCTGAGGGCTCAGGCAGTTCTCTCGCCTCGGTCTCCCAAAGTGCAGGATTACAGGCCACCGCACCCGTTCTATACTTGTTTTTATTTTATTTTTTTTTGAGTTGGGGTCTCACTCTATTGCCCAGGTGCGCTACCACGCCTGGCTAATTTTTTTTATTTATTGTAGAGATGAGGTCTCACCAAATTGCCCAGGTGGGTCTTGAACCCGTGGGCTCAGGCAATTCACCCGAGCCCGGCCTATGCCTGTTTTTAATGACATCAACATTTCTAGCTGCATGTTTCTAAATGTTATATATATTATATATATGAAGAGAGAGAGAGATAGAGACAGAGATCCTTTGCATGAAATATAAATCTTATCCCAAAAAGGGGAAAAAAATTGGGAAAGTTCTTAAGGGTCCTCAAGTTTCTATTAGAAGATGAGGTTTTGCAACAACAGATCCTGGTGAGGATGCGGAGAAAAAGGAACACTTCTACACTGCTGGTAGGAATGCAAACTAGTGCAACCTCTGGAAGACAGTGTGGCGATTTCTGAAAGAACTAGAAATTGACCCTCCATATGACCAGTAATTCCCCTATTGGGAATATACCTGGAGGAACTCAAATCATCTACAAAAAAGATACCTGCATACATGTTTGCTACAGCTCTATTCACAACAGCAAAAACATGGAACCAACCATGCTGAAACTGAACTGGATTTTTAAAAATGTAGTACATATACAAATGGAATATTATGCAGCCATAAAGAAGCCACAAACATATGGGCTTTGCAGCAACTTGGGTGGATTTGGAGTCGATCATACTCAGTGATCAATAACAGAAACAAAGTACAGAGTACCATATGTTTTCACTCATAAGCGGACCTTGAACAATTATAATGCTATAAGAAAGGGATTGGCAGTAGCGGGAAACTGTCAGGGCAGGTGGGTGGGATTGGCAATTGAGGGAAACTGCTAGGGGAGGGAGGGGCACACCTCATCAACAAGGGTATCCGCATAATCAAGGTTTGTATACCTAACCCTGAATTGTATCCCACATCTTTTAAATAAAATTAATAAATAAAATAAAAAGATGAGGTTTTGGAGTCTCAACTCATGTAAGAGAAACCACCCTTTGGTCCTAATGTTTAAAACTTCTCAAACGTCCTATGATACTGAGGATTTGGGCAGTCCATTGTATTTTAAGCAGAATGACATGAATTACATTCACAATTTGAATGATGGACTCTCTAAAATAGGGATTTGATTAAACAAACTTACATTCTTTCTTCATCATTCTGATAAGACTTAGAATTCTGCCACTTTAGAATTAAACATTCCTGGCCATTCAAGAACATTACCTGTTCTTGCATTTGGGATTGGCATGGGTCTGGCTGGTGGTGGAAGGGGGTGTAGAGCAGTGTTCCTAACCGATGGATGCATGGTTTTGAAATATACTACAGTGTCAGGCAGTGTTCTAGGCACTAGAGACAAAAGGGGAGCATTTTAAAGTTTTTTTTCTCCTCAAGAAATGTAATTAGACTGAAATGCTCATAAGTATATACCAAATGTCATGAGAATATCAAACACATGAGAGAAAATGCTTTTTTAAAAAAGAGATGCCGGGCTCGGTGGCTCAGCCTGTAATCCCAGCACTTTGGGAGGCCGAGGTGAGTGGATTGCCTGAGCCTGCAGGTTCGAGACCTGCCTGGGCAACTTGACGAGACCTCATCTCTACAATAAATCAAAAATTAGCCGGGTGTGGTAGCGCGTGCCTGTAGTTCTACCTACTTGGAAGGCTGAGGCGGAAGGATTGCTGGAGCCCAGCAGGTTGAGGCTGTGGTGGCCAGGAGTTGAGTGACAGAGTGAGACTCCAACTCAAAAAAAGATAAAAAATTTAAAAAAATTTAAAAAAAGCATAACAGCTAACACTTATTGAGGACTTACTGTGGCAGGCACCATGCTAGGTGCTTAATGTGGATTTAATTTTTTAAAACATGCCCCCTAAAAAATGCAATGAAACCTTACTATATTAAGACTGATAACTGTGACTGGATGTGGTGGCTCAAGCCTGTAACACCAACATTTTGGAGGTCAAGGTGGGAGGATCACTTGAAGCTAGGAGTGTGAGACCAGCCTGAGCAACACAGCGAGACCCCTGTCTTTACCAAAAATTAAAAAAAAAAAAAATTAGCTGGACATAGTGGCTCATTTCTGTAGTCCCAGATACTCAGGCAGCTGAGGTGGTAGGACCACTTGAGTCCAGGAAATCAAGGCTGCAGAGAGCCATGATCATGCCACTGCACTCCAGCCTGGACAACAGTGAGACCCTGACTCAGAAAAAAAAAAAAAAGATTGATAATTTTAACTGTTTTAAAATATTATAGATGTAAGCTTGGACATTTTAAAAAATTATCTTTTTCAAAACTAAAGACATTCCGACTGATTTTAAATTTTGACTATTCACCTTAACATCATTTCAAGTTCCTACTTTGGCTTTGACCACCTACCTTAAATGACGCAAAGCTATGATGCCTTTGTCTGTGACATTCCCACAGGAAATTATTTCCATTTCCAATATGCTTTTTTGTAAGTTTTCAAGTTGACCAAGTCTCTGCAAACACTCATCTTCGATATAAAGACACTTGCACAGCCTTATTTTCTCAACGTGTTTTAGGCCCTCTGAGGGGGGAAAAATACCATTTAAGAATCTGATTTACCATTAAGATAACAAACTGTCCTGGTTTCCCCAGGTCTGTCCTGATTTTAGGTCTGATAGTCCTATGTCCTGGGATACCCTAGTTCCATGAAAACCCAGAGGATTGCTCAACTTAACCATACAAGGTATTCACTATGCAGGTTGTGTGGATGGGTGAGGCCATACTGCAGTCAGATGCCCATGTGCTGGGGGAAAGAAACACCCACACAAGCAGAAGTTGGGCAGATATCACCATTCCTGCATGACTGAGGGTTTCTCAATGACAGAAGTTTGACAAAGATAGTTTGAAAAAAGGCCCTGGATTTTAAGTCAATAAACCACAGAATAAAGACATATAGGAACAAGCTTAGTGAGAGGAGGAAGGAAAAGAAAGTATCTGTAACCTCTATTTACTGTGAAAATAAATATCAAACTCAGAAAGAAACAAACTTGGTTGTACTGAAATGGGCAAAAAGGACACACCTATGACTATAATAGTGAACCAACTGCAACAGAATGGTCACCACAAATCACCTGTATTTCTCATAAGGAAAATGACAGGGTAGTTACCCATGTGATCAAATCCAATGTTCATGATACAAGAGTCAGTGGCATCAATTGCTTGAATCTTGTATTTGTCCAGAGGGCCCGTGGGAAGGTGATTGTAGTCCTTCTGCCATTTCTCCTGACCATGGTAGCGTACCATGGCCCCACAGCGCAGCAGCCACTCAGACGTCGCCCTGTCAGGGCCAACCTCCCTGAGGCGTTCATAATCCACTCTATTGGCAAGAAAAAAAAGCAGTTCGCTTTTACAATAATCACTAGGTTCTTAACTATATTCACTGACATAAATATAGAATGGCAACACATTTTCATTTCAAATGACCGAGGAGGGAGATATGTGTATTAGTGAGATCCATGCCAAATATATATATAAAAGAGCAGTAGTTCTACCTGCTCTTTTTTAGTTTTTTGTTTCCAAGTGAAAATCTGTCAAGGTGTGGGTGTAGGGGGTGTGTATGTGTATTTTTGTTTGTTTGTTTTGAGTTGGAGTCTCCCTTTGTCACCCAGGCTAGAGTGCAGTGGCATGCTCATGGCCCCCACAGCCTTGGCCTGCCGGGCTCAGGTGATCCTTCCGCCTCAGCCTTCTAAGTAGCTGGAACTACAGGCATGCGCCACTGCACCTAGCTAGTTTTTAAAAATTTACTGTAGAAATGAGGTCTCACCATGTTGTCTGGGCTGGTCTTGAATTCGTGGGCTCAGGAAATCCTATTGCCTCTGCCTCCCAAAATGCTGGGATTACAGGTGTGAGCCACTGTGCCCAGCATATTATTTTTACATGAGTTTACCAACCAGACATGAATCTTCATTGATTCACATGTAGCATAGTGCTTGACACTAGAGATATATTAAATGACCAGACTAGGTGTAGTGACTCAGACTGGTAATCCTAGCACTTTGGGAGGCAAAGGCAGGAGGACTGCTTGACCAGAAGTTCAAGATCACCCTAGGCAACATAGTGAGACCTTGTCTATACAGAAAAATAAAAAACTTAGTCCGGCATGGTGGCACAGCATACCTGTAGTTCCAGCTACATGGAGGCTGAGGTGGAAGGATCGCCTGAGCCCAGGAGATCAAGGCTGCAGTGAGTCATGATTGTGTTACTGCACTCCAGCCAGAGGGACAGAATGAGACCCTGACTGAATAAACAAACAAGCAAAGATTAAAGCAAAATAGAAATAATTTTGAACTTATGTTCAAATTAATCTCATTAAGTGATATTTATTAACGTCTACATATGCTTTCTCTCTAGCTAGTGATCATAATGTTATAGGAAGCAATGAGAAGGCTAGCTAGTTCCATCAGTTTCAAGGATTTCTTTTTCTTGTTGTTTTTCAATCAACTAGCACTTATTGAACACCAATTAGAAGCCAGATCTTTTAAGAGTTTTATTTTTTTCAGCCTGTAATCCCAGCACTTTGGGAGGCCAAAGTGTGTGGATTGCCTGAGCCCATGGGTTCAAGACCAGCCCAGGCAATTTGGTGAGACTTCTCTACAATAAATAAAAAATTAGCCGGCTGTGGTAGCGTGCACCTGCAGTTCCAGCTACTTGGAAGGCTGAGGCAGAAGGATCGCTGGAGTCCAGCAGGTTGATGCTGGGGTGGCTGTGAGCATGCCACCACACTCCAGACTGGGCGACAGAGTGAGACTCCAACTCAAAAAAAAGTTTTATTTTTATTTTTGATCATAGCTCACTGCAGCTTCAAATTCCTGGGCTCAAGTGATCTTCCTGCCTCAGTCTTCCAAGTTCAAAGTGATATTTCTAAGCATACCACACACTGGTTTTTTTGTTATATTTTGAGTAGGAGTCTTACTCTGATGCCCAGGCTGGAGTACAGTGGCACACTCATGGCCACCACTGCCTCAACCTGCTGGGTTCAGGTGGTTCTTCTGCTTCAGTCTTCCAAGTAGCTATAACTAAGGGTGGGTACCTCCACACCCAGCTAATTTATTTATTTATTTATTGTAGAGATGAGTCTCACTAAGTTGCCCAGGTTGGTTTTGAACCCATGGGCTCAGGGAATCCTCTCACCTCTGCCTCCCAAAGTGTGGGGATTACAGGTATGAGCCACCACACCCAGCTCACACACTCGTTTTTTGAAAACCTGAGTTCCCTTGACAAAATATTCAAAAGGCTAACTACATTTCTTAAAAAGTCATAAAATAATATTTTAAAATTATATTTACAAAGTTTTTCTGATCATAAAATAAATGGTCATTTCAGAAAATTTGAAATGCATCAAAAGGACAATTAAGAAAAATCACTGAAATACTGCAACCCAAACAGCCACAGTTAAGATTTTTAATGTTTTCTGGTCTTTTTTCCATATTTGTGTGTATGTTTTATCTGTCAACAAAATGAGGATCACACTGCACACATTGTTCAGAAACATCTGAAATTTAAGACATAACAAAACTAGTTACTGGGAACACATCTAGTTGTAAACAATCCCCACATTTTGTCACTTTAGTTAGAGTAACTTACTTATTAAACACTGTATTCAACCAGCCCCAGAAGTATCTAGAGTCACATGACCATGGGAGTTTCTTTAAGCCACATAACTGCTGGGAAACTTTTCCAAACAGCATCATTTGATCTAAACACACAAAACAGTATTCACATTAGATTATTGGCTAGCAGTCAGAGTCTCAGACATATAGTAACTTCACAATTTCCGAGTCAACGCTCTTGTGCCAAGAAAGCTGATGACTCTCTCAAGTATTGAGCAAGTCACTCCTGTCTCTGGTTCTTGGGGTTTGTGTTTGCTTGTTTGCTCCAAAAATGAGGGATTGGGCTAGATAGGGTCTCCGGTTCCTTCTCAGCCTTAACTTTAAGTTCCATTGTTCAAACCTCCATTAGAGTTTGCCAGCAGTGTGGCCACCTAGTGTCCATTCAGGCTGTGTAACCATACATTTGCTGAAACAAATTTCCACTCCCAATCTACATTTCCAGGATCAAAATGACAAACTACAATGATCGCGGGTGCAATGTGTCAAGGTTAGGATGCTTACATCCAGGAAGGGAGAGGAGACATGAAAACAGATTTACCTATGACAAGGCTGCAAGAGCAATGCTGCAAAGGCAGCTGGGAAACACCGCGCAGGTAACTTCACCTCTCTGACCCTTGGTTTTCTCATTTGTAAAATGAGATGATTTGCTCAGATGATTTCCAGCTGTCAAAATTTATAACCATAAGTTCAGAAAATGATTTTTGGACTAAGTTTCAATCTGATTTATCTCAATCTTCTCTAGTAGTGTGTCAGGCCTGTGTGTGGGCATGGGGCTGAGGGATGATAAAAGAAATGAAACATGATGTCTGCTTTGAGGATCTGACAATTTAAGGCAGGATGGATTGAGCTAAGATAAGTTACCAAGTAGTTAAAATAAGTGACCAAACCTGATAAGTGCCTCAAAGGAGTTAAAATAAAGACAGAGAGGATTTCAGTGGACAAAGGGGCCAGGAAAGTTAAGCCAGGTTATTAGCTAAGGCAGGACCATGTAAGGCATGCTGCAGTTCCATTTTGCTAGCATACAGGAGTCAGGAGAAGAGGCAGGCAATTTTCACAGTCAGGTCTCAAAAGGTCTCGCATGCTCAGCCAGGGAATTTGGACAAGATTCTGAAGGCAGTTGGGAGTCACTTAGGATTCAGATCAAAGCACTGACACTATTAGAGCTGTGCTTCAGGAAATTTACTCAGACAGCAGCACCAAGATTCAGGGTCAGAAGAATGGGACCAAGCCAGGTGCAGTGACTCATGCCTGTAACCCCAGCAGTTTGGGAGGCAGAGACTAGAGGACTGCCTAAACTCAGGGTTTGAGACCAGCCTGGGCAACTTGGCAGGACCTCATCTCTAAGTCAAAAAAATTAGCCAGGTGTGGTGGCACGCGCCTGCGGTTCCAGCTACTTGGAAGGCTGAGGTGGAAAGATTGCCTGAATCCAGAAGGTCGAGCCTACAGTGATCGTGAGCATGCCACTGCACTCCAGCCTGGGCGACAGAGTGAGACTCGGCCTCAAAAAAAAAAGATGAGGGTCAACAGAATGGGACCAATAGCCAACAATACTTCAACAGCATGTGGCCACAGGAAAGGGCCTAGCTGGGGACGGATGCGAATGACAAAACAGGGTTGGAGTCCATAGGACTTTGCGAGTGAAGAGTAGGGGCAAGGGCTAGAGGAGTTGAAGATGACACTGAGCTTTGGTCCTGGGTCACTGGTAGGATGGTGATGCTGCCCACAGAAATCAACATCAGGAGAACAGAGGGTGGGTTCCGTTTTTGCTTTTGAGTTGGGGTCTCACTCTGTTGCCCAGGCTGGAGGGCAGGGGCACAATCACCACTCACCGCAGCCTTGAACTCCCGAACTGAAGCAATCCCACCTCAGCCTCCCGCGTGGCTGGGACTACAGGCACATGCTACAACACCAAGCTAATGTTTGTATTTTTTGTTGAGATGTGGTCTCCCCGTGTTGTCTAGGATAGAGTTTCTCTTATTCTAAATGGGAAGGGTTGGACTTCTAGGTGGAGATGACCAACAAATCACTGGAACTAGAGCCACAGAATGTTAAAGCTGGAAGGAATTTAGATTACTTAGCCCAGACCTCTCATTTAGAGATGAGGAAACTAAAACCCTGATATTAAGTAACTTGCTGACACCCTAAATCCTTCCTGGAACAAGGTGGGGCATTAATAAATGCATGTGTTTAAAGCGGCTTGCTCAATGTTTCATGGCTAATTGGTGGCAGTGCTGAAACTTGAAACCAGTTCTCTCTCCGAGTCCAGGGCCCTTTTTTCAACCATTTGGTGGTTCGAGAATTCAAGAGAAAAAAGAGGACTAGAGAGATATCTGAGTGGGAACCACTTTAGAGCTGAGGTGACTGAGGATGCTGGACAGTGAGAGATGTGGCCTGCGGACAGAACCCAGGGATCACCCATTACCCTCTGAGTCCCTTTTCCACCATCACTCTGTCTTCCTTACTACAAACCTCTCCCCCTGCTACCTCCTCTCATGTTCTCAACTCTTTCCAGCTTTTTGTTAAAGCTCTCTCCACCTGTGCCCACCTGTAATAACTCTGTTGATTGCCAAATTCATCCACAAATCTGGGCTTTCCCACCTTCTACTCAGGCTGTTTCCTCTGTTAGTTCCCTGTCCCAAGACTGTCTGTGGAAATCTCACCTAACCTTAAGATCTTATTCAAATACTCTGTCCATTCATTCATTCACTCACTCAATAAGTGTTTATTGAATGTCTATTTCTTTGTGCAAAAGAAACACCAGTAAGACAACGACAACAACAACAAAGCAAAAACATACAGAGAAACAGACATGGTTCCTGTCCTCATAGAATGTAGAGTCCAGCGAAGAGGACATATACACGAATAAATAAGATCCAATTGGTGTTTTAACAGAGGTGTGAGCAAATGCCATGAGCACCCGGAGAAGGGAGTGAAGGGGAGTCTTCACACTAGAGGTATCTTTTGAGATGGATCTTTTAAACAATGATTAAGAGTTTCTAGTTAGGAAGAAAAAAATATGCAGAGAAAAAGGTAGACAGCAAGGATCACATCTGATTCATTTCTATTTTTTTCGGCATAAAGTTTAAACAACATTTGCTAGTTAATAGTCTCCAGTGGTTGACATATTACCACGGAGGAAGGTAAAACCAGAGAAACTGTTACCAAGCAGGTGAATTAGAGTGGTCTTTGAAAACCGAATACTTTCACCTGATTCATTTTGGCCCATCTTATAAGTCAGCTTAAAGAAATGCCAAATTTCCTTCAGCTGTGCTCTCTAAAAACATGCCATTACATTTAAAATAATTTAAACATGAAAATTAATGTTTATTTAGCAATAAAGGTTAAAAAAAAAACTGGCAGGCTTTTTACAATCTCAACTGCAACTCTGCTAATTGGTTCTGGGAATTATTCCTAAAGTCCAGGCAGCTACCTCTGAGAATGCGTTCTATATGGAAAGAGGAGACCTCTAGTGGTGAGCTAGAGAATTTAGCTTTAATAAACTAAAAGTCAGAAAACCACTACTAAATTCCTGATGCCATAATAATCCAGGAACTCAAATTATGAAAACAAAAACAGACTTCTTACCATCAGAATATGGTTTATAGTCATACATTTTAACAGTATGCTGAAAGTTACAGTTATGTTTATAACTTAAAGACCAGACCTCTAACATATTACTCAAAATAGAATATATACAAAGTGGTTTTTGAGTTGGTTTGGTGGAGAGGTTCTCTGTTTGCATAAAAACAGTAAGTTTTTTAAAGTGGAAGTTCTGATTTTACATATAATGCAATTACTTAGTGGGCTATTCAAAGTGATGGCTAACTTGGTGTTTAAAAAAAAAAAACAAAAACAGAATTAGACCAGGTGCTGTGGCTCATGTCCGTCATCCCAGCACTTTGGGAGGCCAAGGTGGGGAATTTCTTGTGCCCAGGAGTTCAAGACCAGCCTGAACAGCATGGTGAGACCTCATCTCTACAAACAATAAAAACTATTAAAAAAATAAAAACCTGAATTAGTGAATTAGTTACCAAGGGTCAATAAAGTGTGGAAAGTGATGGGATCGCATCATTATGAGGGACTTTTTCCCCAAATTAAGATCTCGTCCCACTGTAAATCATCTACCAGGATTCCAGTTCTTATTTCTGAGGTGTGTAGGATCTAGTGAAACAGACCAAGAGAGCAATTCATTAGGATTTGGAAGCAAAGGTCCCAAAAGTCATTGTTAGGCTAACATCACAAGGCACTCATTTAACTTCTTATGGGTTCTCACCTACATGGAAGAAGGTGAACATGAATTCCAGTCTAGGAGGATGACATCAGTAATACAAATGTCTCTAGGCTTTGGAGGAATCCAAGACAAGCTCTCAGTTTTCTTGAAATTACTTGAGACAAACTGTACAGTCAAACCTTAAGGGGAAAGGTCAAGACAATTTTATAAAAAGAGCATGTGTACTCTAAGTTCTTTCACCCTTGCTAAACTAAGAAGCACATACTCAAAATCAGATGATGAATCACAACTACGTGCCCAGTTGGCCCGCTCCTTGAAGTATTCTGTATTCAACCTAGGAACAAAGTAACAATATCCAGAGCAAACTAAAAAATAACCATCTCTGCTACATGCCTATCAGGATGGCTAAAATAAAAAGCAGTGGCAACACCAAATGCTGGTCACAATGAGAAACTTGATCTCACATTACTGCTGGTGGGAACTCAAAATGGTATAGCCACTTCAGAAAACAACTTGGCAGTTTCTTACAAAATTAAACACGCACTCACCATATGACCCAGCACTTGCACGCAGAAACAAAAACAGGTTCATACAAAAAGCTGTAAGTTAATGTTCATAACAGCTTTATCCACAATTGTTAAAAACTAGAAACACGCAGAAGCCCTTCAATAGAAAATGACTCAGTAGTGAAAAGGATTGAACTATTGATACATGCAACAATTTGGATGGATCTCAAGGGATTATGCTGAGTGAAAAAAAAGCCAATCCCCACCAGGCTCGGTGGGTCAGCCTGTAATCCTGCGCCTTTGGGGGGCTGAGGTGAGTGGATTGCCTGAGCCCATGGGTTTGAGACCCGCCTGGGCAACTTAGCAAGACCTCATCTCTACCATAAATCAAAAACTAGCTGGGCGTGGTAGCGTGAGCCTGTAGTTCCAGCTACTCGGAAGGTTGAGGTGGAAGGTTCGCCGGAGCCCAGCAGATCAAGGCTGCGGTGGCCGGGAGCAGCCACTGCACTCCAGCCTGGGCGACAGAGTGAGACTCCAAATCAAAAAAAAAAAAAAAAGCCAATCCCCAAAAGTTATCTACTGTATAATCACATTTGCATCACATTTTTGAAATGATAAAATTTTTGAATAAAAGACTGGATGGAGCTGCAAGGGGGAAGGGCAGCCTGAAGCTGCCCTGAAGGGATCCTCGGTGATGGAAGTGCACTGTATTTTTTTTTTTTTTTT